ACTCCCATCCTCCCTTCTGGATCCGAAATACCATTTCTGGTCACAAATGTAACTTATTGCATTTCGTGTATTTTTCAGGTGATCGGACATGATATCCGGTATCACAATATCCGTCGTCACACTATCAAGTTGACCTGATTTAGGTTGAACTGGAATGATTTAGATTTAATATTGTTATAAGTAGATTGTCAGCACATTCTATCAAATCCGATTAATCCAGATAGTCATATTATGATGTATACTTCGAGAGATAAGCAGATAAAAATTTAAATATTATACTAGGCACAACCCATCACTTCGCCGACAGTTTAAAGTTATTAAATAAATAAAATCTATAAAATCGGTAGATTAATGCAGGTGACATATAGCATTAAGAAAAATTAATACTTTGATACCACTTATCTCATTTAATTTGCGATTCAAGGTTGTTACATGACTTTGCAAAGATAAATGTCTGTGAAGTCATAGAATAATGCTGAGTCTCAGATCGAAGGGCAGAGATGACGTATTATGTCATTCAATATATGTATAGCATTTAGAATCAGTATTTACTAACCAAATTATGAATGTTTAAGTAAATGCTGATTGTAAATATATTGAATAACATAATACGTCACCTCTGCCTTTCGGTCTGCGAAGCCATGTGACAACGTTGAATCGCAGATCGAATGGTCAAATTCTCGTGGTCGATGTTACATGGATATCCTAACATTTTCGTAACAAATAAGTAGCATAATTTAAAAAATTATTTATATAGGGCAGTCTAAACGTTACACCCCAATTATTTTAATAATACGAAGAATTTTAATATATAGAGATATGTTTACCAAAAAACCTTTGTTAAGAAAGAATAAATAATTAAAATACTTGAACTACATGATTATCTATTGCAAGCAAATGACGTGAATTATAATTCAACACATTTAAATTTATACAAATTCAATCTCTAATTAGGATATTACATTACGGCATCACGGCACAAAAGTTTTACGGCAATTAGATGCTATGCGTAATTAATTCTACCACATGGTAAAATGTCGTAATGCCGTAATTCAGTAATTCTACCAACAACTATAGCACATCCTAATATGGTGATAGTTTAGAGGTGTGATCATATAAGTGTACCTCTACATAATCACATCATATAAAATATCATAATATAATTTAATTTAAATAAATGACATGTATATATTAGAATAAGCGTAGTTTAAAATTGAGTTGCGTAAAATTAAATTTTAATTCTGAGGTGTGTCAGATTAGTTTTATCATTTATGCGTTATACTGAAATACATGTCATGTTAATATTATAACTTAATAAAAATTGGTTCACTTGAAATTTCTTGATTTTTCTTCAGTTAGCACAAATTAGAATACGAAATCAGCGATTTGGTATAAATTGACCTATATGTTCATGCAAGATTTTAGATAAGTTGAACTATAATCAAACATTTTAATATTGTGCAAGTGAATTTGAGCATATATTTCAACAGATTATATATTTGTTAAAGAAGCTGCACAGAATCAAAATACTGGTGGTTTTCTTACAAAAGTATGTGTAATCGTAAAAGTAGTTATGATCTAATAAATGTCGTTGCAAAAAAATTGGATTTGAATGTAGAAGCAAATGTCAAAATGGAAGAATATATAATAATATAGTTTAGAATTATAGGTTAGTAAGTTTATTTTTCACCGTATAAATTTTAAATCATCGATTTTAATTTGACGCATAATAAGACAATTTTGATCTGACGCATCTCAAAATCAAATTTTGATCCGATACAACTCAATTTCAAATTCACGCCCATTCGAATTTTACGCACAACATATATATACAAAGTATAATGTGCCGCTCAGATGTAACATAAATAACAACAAAAAATAAATCGGGGTTTTTTGTTTAGTTAGGGTTGGGCTAGGTAGTGTTAGGATGAAAAAAAAGAGAGGTTTTGAAGTAAAATTTTGCGAGAAATTTTTTTTGTTATTATTTTGCTTATTATTTTGCGAGAAATTTTTTTTGTTATAACACGAAAGATAGTTTCATATGAAAAATTTTGCGTTATAAGCGACTTTTTGACAAAACGAACGTTTGGTTGGAATTTTCCTGATCATGCTGTTACACGAAATTTATTGGAAGATCATTAAGTCTATTTAATTTTATTGGATCAAATTCTGCGAATAATTCCGTCTAATGTTTTAATAAACTGCAAAGACGCTCAAATATATTGATAATACCAACTCATGAGATGAGTAACATAAAATAACAATAAACACCAAATGTCAACACTAGCACTTACACTAATCGGTAGTAAATTGTATTCATAACATCCAGATTGCAATTTCCAAATGTAGAAAATCATTCTAAGCCGTGATAACGATTAATGGTTAAATTACGTATTGTTCATTAGCAACGGATAGAATACAAAGTTTTTGTGGCAAGAATTAAATTGAGCAGCAAAAGGTCAGTTATACAAATGACCATTATCACACTTGATTGTCAATTGGTTTGACACAAGATCAAGGAGAAATTGAGGTCTGAGTTAAATATAATTTGAAATTATACTTCTCACATGAGCGAAAATGCTTGTTGGAGAATATTATTATTGCAATTACTTATAGCGATTTGATTCCTGAATACTTGATGTAATGCATTTATAATCAAATAATCTAAGATAATAAGAAATAGGAAATCAGAGATCCAAAAACAATCGATTTCCTTAATAATTGAATTGCTAATAAATAAGTCACTGCTAATACCTACATAAATTGTCGCACGGAGTCATTTATAGAGAATCGATAAGCGGATTCATAAGCGATTCATAAAAGGGTTATATGCAACTATACAATTAACCAAAATAATGCTAATCGTGCATAATTGTTTTATCGTTTATAAATCATCATGTTATAAAATTATTTTTATTTTCTTTCAACATAATCGGGATAATTAAATTTGAACATGATCTTCTGTATTACTACAGTAGTGAAAATCAAATTACTTGGCATTTTTGTGTTTATGTGGCATGATGTACAGTACATACCGTGGATATAATTCGAATAAATAATTCGGTATGGTATTCATAAACGTACACAATTACTAAATAGTCGTACTAGCTTATCAGTGAGAAAAAGAGACTATACTATACATTTGAATATCCTATCTCGTATGGAGATTAAAAATTCGAAAAAGTTTGATTTTTTTTTGAATTTCTTTTTTTTTTTTTTATCAAATTATAGAATAAATTATGTATTGAAATAAAAGATTAAAAAAAAAGATAATAACAGTAATGCAATTGGAAATTAGCAAATATACCGAATTTAGCAGTTAGAGCAGTAGAATCTTGTACACTTTATAGCATTAAAATAAGTTAAGTCTAGCAGCCAACAATTTCAAAAGTGTTGTACTATATAAACTATAACGTTTACTAGTATATAAGCATCGTCTCAAGCTGAGCATTGATAGGGACTTTCGATTTAAAATAATAGATAATAAGGTTCTAAAGAAAATAGTCAATTTAAAGAGTTTTATGGGTTTAAAATGTTTTATATACAATATATATGTAAATGTTTATTCAATTAAAAAGTTAATGTCAGAGAATTTTAGTAAGACTTCAAAAAATAAAATAAAATAGAATAAAAGATATACCTTGTATATATCCAAAATGAAATAAAAATTATAAGCATAAATACATAATAATTATACATGATTTGTACTTATAGCGTGATTAGATAGTCGTGGTTCGACGAGCCAAAATTTTCAATATCAAAAAACTTTAGTACAAATATATAACTTTGACTCGAAAAACAAAATGATTATTAGTTGTTGGGAGTTTGAACCATATTGTATTGAGCTGGCTCAGCTTGATTTGAGCCATAGACATGAACGACAGTAGTGGGTTGCTGCTGCTGATCACGCTCTTGGCGTTTCTTCAGCATATCTTGAATTTGAAGTTGTGCGGCATAAAATCGCAACGTTAAGTATAGATAAGGCTAATTTTAAATAAATCATGCATGTGAAGAATTAGTAAACTAACCATCAAATCTAAAATGAAAACAAATCTTTAAATTACTAACACTCGGCAATATTCCCAATGCGAAAAGAGACGCCCACACACCGACACTAGCACCTCCATATATACTACAAGGATCATAGTAACTTCCATAATATTGCGATACACCCGTAGAATCAAAGAAGCTATGATAATTTGATAAAGATTTTTGCGCCTCTGATTCGTATAGTCCAACCCATATAGAGTTTGTCACTATAAAATAGACTTTGACTGCTAGATAAACATGCACAAACCCAGTTACAAGGTTCGATTTTTCTTTTATAATAGCGTATAGCCCGAAGAACATCAGAAACGATGTAATCAAGACTGTAGACCCCATTATTCGTAAACCCACATAATAAGAGTATATGGTGCTAAAATCGGTATCTGTTTGAGATAAATGATAATATGTTAAATAAAACATTGTATTAAATAGAAAGCGTAAATTAACAATACTCACCAAGGTCAAAAAATAAATATGGAACAGCCGCCATAAAACATCCATTGGCGAAGAGCCAAATAAAGGAGTAAACTACTCCAATAATAGATCCTGCTCGTAAAGTAGCTCCGCAGCTTTTTTGTTAACAAATAATTAAATATTTAATTAATGTAAAATAATTTTGTTACGAATGTTTAAAATTTTTTACGTACAGAAATGTGCTAAAATGCCACCACGGTTTAATAGTGTTCTCTGCAATATCCATGTTATCCATTTTAGCCAAAGAAATGGTTTATGAAAATTTTGAATGTGTTTTGATTATGTTATTTATAGACTCTAAATAGCGCCAAGAAATGATGGAACTCCGAATTATATTCTGCTTGATGAGACTTCTTCAATTAGGAGTATTTTTATTTACACCACATTACGTGATAAACTTTATTGAAGAATTTCAAAATACTTTGTATCGTAAGTAATAAAAATGGGCTTTCTTCAATCAAAATTGTTTTATTTACAACACTTTGTGAAAAAGTTTATTAAGAATTTTTAAATGAGCCTCCAAATTTGTCTGCTAATTGTATTTATCCTGATTTATAAAAGGATATTTTCTCGTATTCATTTTTTCTTGGATTGGAAATTTCTTTATGTTGAAATGCACTATTCTATTAGATAGATTAAAGAAATATGTGCATTTAAAAATAATAAACTTATGCTTTCATGGAGTTTAGAATTACATGCTCCGTTTGTGTATTTTAATATTTATCATTGTATAAATAATTGTCGGTAAATATCGGTGAAAAATTTACCCATTTTCTAATTTTCTTCAATATGAGAATTAATTATGAGTATTCTCAACTTTTATAGTTATTGGACGCGAAGCAGTCAATAATTGAATTGCCGTGTAAACTCTTGTGATCATGGATTTTTTCGTGCACGTCCAAAACGTGTGACAGGTTACGCCGATGATGTCAACTAACCCTACGCCTTAAAACCATATTCCGACTGATAATGTATAATTAATATCGATATTAATAAACTTTAAGTAATTATTAAAATATTTAAATAAACAGGATATATAATACATTATCATTGCATTTTATCTTCCTGTACTCTTTTCAACAATGGGTCATAAAAATACATCATATTAGAGGTAAATTACCTTTCCTTGGTCTATTCAATCTCTTGCTGTTATCTCTTCTGTAAGACCTTAAACTATGATAACTTTAAGTTGTTATTTAGAGAAGATGTATTCTCTTGTTTTTTGGTAGTATTTTGATTCTTTTTAGAACTTATTCTAAGTTTTCTAATGGAACTGAGTTAAATGTCTTCTTTATGTCTTGTAAGAATATTTACAATTCTTTATTTTTCTCTTGTGTTTTTTCTATTATCATTTTAATATATGTATTAGTTGTTCTGTTAAGTTATCTGAAAATCTTGTATAGTTGAGTCTTTTAAGTATTTCTTTTTCTAAGCATTTCTTAGTCAATCTTTTAATTATTATTTTTGTAATTACTTTTCTGAAGGTCTCAATTAGTACTATTGATCTAATATTATTTTAGTTATATTTTTAATCTATATCTTTTAAAATCAAATATATTTGTTATTTTTTATTTCTATAATATTCTTTCTTTTTCCAAACTAGGTTTATAAAAGTTTTGAAAGTTTTTCATATTTTCTTTTCTGTCTGTCTTATTAATGTATAATTTATATCTAATATTCCTGAAATTATATCAGTTTTAAGTTCTTTTAATATGATTTTTCATTCTTATTCCTCTATCTTTTCATTTAGTTTTCTTGTACCAAATCTTTTTGATCTATTTTTTAATTTGTATACTTTTTTCCATTCTTCAAATATTTATTCTAACTTAATTTTTTTCTTTCTAAATTGGTTTTCAAAATCTTTTAATATATTATTTAAAATTACATTTAATTTTGTTCTTAGGTTAACTTCTTCTTTGTTTTATATTATAAATCTATTAAGACATATCTTTTTATATAGTTTATTTAGCAAACTTATAATTATTTACATTTTCTATTTATGTTCTCTTTGATCTGTTTTTTTTAATCTTATTTTTATTTTATTTTTATTTTTTTTAATTGTTTTTTGTTATTTTTTATGTCATCTATCTAAGTTTCTGATTACTATCTATACAGGTTTGATAATATTAATTCTATCTTTTTTTTTATAACTTTGAGTTTATTATTAATTTTGATTCTTTCTTTTTTTTGTATTTCTTTATTCTTTTTCTTTTTGCTTTTTTGATTATTTGTTCTATTTATTTATTTTTTTTTTTTTTAATCTTTGGCAGTTATGATAGTTAACCAATTAGAAGGTTATTTATAAATGTTTAATACAGAAAATATGCAAATATAACTATATCTAACCTCTTATACTATCATTATATGGTTACTCCAATTGGCACTTACAAGCAACCTGTTGTACCAGATTTGCTAAAGTTTAGATCAAGCTCATCTGTCTGTTACTCTACAATTGAATAGCACCAATCTGATACCATTTGTTCATAAAGAGATAAAAAAACAAAAAAACTTTTTGTTATAAAGGAAATATACTAAAAAATATATATATAGAAGAAAAATATAAAAAAACAAATATTAAGAAATAAAAAAAAAGGAATTACTAACAAAGACTAAACAAACAGTTACTAATTATAAAGACTGTGTTAGCCTATTAAAAATTATATATTACTAAATACAGTAATCTCTATTTTAATTCTATCTAATTAATATATTTAATACTGAAGCTTATATCTTAAGGAAAACAATTTAACTAAAACTGAACTGGCAGAGAATTTTCTATATATTGAACAACTCAACTTCTTGTTACTGAATTCATCTTTATATATGACTCATTATACTTTTTACTAAATCTTATATTTCAATACTTATTATATTTTCAACTAATTATTTTATCTTTTATTGAAAATCTTCAATTTCTCATTATTGTATTTTTTTTTAAAACATGTATACTTGTGTTTTATCTACAACACAGATTCTTTCAAAATAGTACTAATAAACAATTCTGATTTGGAAAAATAAACAATGCTAATTTTGATAAGGTTAAGCTAGATTGTTGACTTTTTAATAAAATTTCTTAAAAAAAAGTAGTGTTATCTGGCTAAGTCATATGCCATGTGATACAGCTAACCAAATAAGAGTGATCCAGCTAGAAAAATCAGAATCATCAGAAAGGACTGAAATGTAGGAAAAGTCCTTTCTGACGAAAAGAGTGAAGTAAGTAATTTAGTCGGTAATAGAGGGATCACTAATATAGTCATAATCATTATAGTCTTAGATAACAGTAATATAGACCAAGAAAATGTATATAAAATATTCTTATAAATAAAGACCATAAAGGCCCTAAGGAGGAGAGAGACCCCAGAAAATCCTTTACATTATTAAAATAATACCTGGCCCTTACATAATAATAAATACATGAATGTCTCCCTTGTTACATTAACTAATCACTAAATCTCTAGACCAAAAAAAAACCTGATTCTTGAATTTATCTATTCTAATTCGTAGTATTGTTACCCTCCCATCTGACTGTTGTATCCTAAAGTACCAGGATCAGTCGTAGTTGTATCATTCTACTATCCCGAAGGACTAAGGATAGTGTGGTTATACATGTTGTCTAATTACCTGATGTAGTAAGGTAATTAAGGAATAGAGTTAGTAAGTTCTAGAGAAGAAAAACGCAAGACAAGTAAAGAAGAAATACTTACCTATGGACCCAAACCACTGACCAAATCTAAACGCCTCTTTTTGACTAAGCCAACTGTAGGTAATACGAAGTTTTGGATTGTGAAGTGACTGACTCACTGTAACGCCCGATTTCAGTAGTAAGAAAATTTTTAAAGCACTTATTATAATGAATATAAAGTTTATATTATATAAAATAGCATATCTAATCAGGCTTTTATCTTTGTTATTGCTCAGATATAGCTTGACAAAAACTTCTTTGCTTGTAGCCAAAGTTATTTTTTCAATAACTTCATAGACTTTTAACAGAGATTCAAACTCACAAAGAGTTTTTTTTCAACTTTTTTTTATATTGTCATATGCAATCTGAAACTCTTGAATCTAAATGCTATATGATGAAATTTTGTTATATATAAATATATTAACTATATAATTTTTATAAGTTAGTATGTATGGAAAAATTAGTGCAAAGGATTATTAAAAAGAGTTGTTTGTTTATTTTTTTAAATAATATTACAATTTTTTTCAATTTATTAATATTACTTTTTTTATTATTAAATAACTTTTATAAGATTATTTATTAATTACTTGAACTAAAAAATAATCAGACAATTACTTAAGATTTCTTTTAATTAAAATTTAATTTGAAATAATTAGTTATAACATTTATAGAAATAAGTTGTATAATATTATATTGAATATTTTTTTATAATACAAATATAGTTTAGAAATTTTTAATTTAAAACTTATGTTTCTAGAAACTATATATAATTGTGTATACTAAACTATAACAAAAAAGGCAAAAACTACCAGAGACAATCAATTTGGAAAAAGAATAGATTATTGCAGATAATAAACAGATGGGCTACTATTAGATTAAAAAGATAAGAGAAAATTTAAATATAACAAGATGATTTATAGACTTTCCAATAATTTAGTAATAATAATTAAAATATATAATAAAGGTTACAAAAATAGGGTATATAAAAAAATATAAATATAGTATTACATTAGGTATCTAAAGCTAATAATAATATAGTAATACAAATATAATATAACTATATATAATAAGTTAAAAAAAAACTCTTTCTGCAAATCCATTACACAAAAATTAACTAAAAATTCGTCTGTCAAAAATACTTATAACT